TATTTACGAAATTGATTTCATGCATCTGATGTTATGAATTTGCCAAAGTAAACCCCTTTCTTATTAGATTGGATCTGTTTTATTTTTCATTCTTTGTGACATAGTGTTGGACAAAATACTTTGTTGTGTTGAAGTCAAAAACTCTAACTTAACTGATCATGTTAGTGTTATTAAGATGTTTATTTATTGATGTTATTGCACTATTGGTAAATGGTAATGTGATTGCCTCTTCTATTTTGCTGTTTTTCTTTCTTGCAGCCAAAACACCCTTTCCACTGGCTCAAAGGTTTAGATCAATGTTGCAGAATGGAATTGACCTAAGCACAGTTGATGTGAGCTATGTTAGTAGTTGTTCATGGTACTGTTCTAATTTTGTATGCAAGAAGCTTTTTATATGTGATTTTTAATTGGTTTTTCTCCTTCAGCACTTCAATTTTTTGAGAGACTTTCTTAGCTTATGTGCTACAAGCTAAGGTAGCAAGGCAAGTGCTATAAGCCACTGAGAGAAATATGACAGATGCCTCTCAGCTGAACTATGATTTTAGAAACCCATTTGTGACATGTGGGGCAACTTATGTGCCAATTTACAAAGGATGGTAAGATGTATCTTGCTTGTATTGCACTACTCTCTTTGAGCCTAACCACAATGGGCAATTGTGTATAATGCGTGATCTAACATTGGTAGGGGCTGATGTGTTAGGGTTGCTCTGTTCTCCTTCACAAATATGATGAAGCTGCAGGGATTTTATCTGCTTTTGAACTTTGTCATGCTGATCCTTTTAGCTGCAAAACCGTTCTCGTTAATCAATTCATATCTGCGAGTTAAAGGTAAGGTTAATGAGGAAAAAGTAGATAACCAAATTAATAAGCTTGTGCTATTTCCTTTGCCTTTTGTTTTACCCTTATTAATAGAGTTCATAATGATTCTTTCATTACCAGGCATTTCCTCAATTTGTTTGGCTTGAGCGGTTTATTTAGTATGATTTTAGGGGAGGAAAATGATTACTATTGAATCATGAACTTCCTGTTATGTTTTATATTAGATTGCCGTCTACAATTCCTCTGGTTCTTGGATTTATCATCTATTTGTAGCGTTTCATCATGTAAATTGTGATTTTTTTTTTTTTTGCAGCAATGGATGATACATAGCGAATGATGCAAATGAGTAGATTTGGCTTTGATCCAAAAAAGATATTAATTTAATCTGTTCTCCATTAAGTGTTGCAAGCTCAAGAATTCTTACAAGTTTCAGAAGTCTAATAGAATTTTACATGGTCTTATATTCCTCGTAAACCTTTTCTTTATCTATTCTCCTCATGCACATCATTATTATTTCTTTATTGTTTAGTTCTTATTATGTGTTTTCGCCTTTGTGATTTTTAAAGAAATAGTACATACCAAATTATAGCCTTTAATTGCATCATTCTTTTTAGCTTATTTGTACGAATATAAAAAACCCATTAAAGCAACAAATAAAGGTGTTTTATTTAAATTTTAAATAAAGAAACTTATGTTATTATGCTACATAAAATTTTGAGCTGTAACTTTGAATTTAACAATTTTTTTTTTAAAACCATTCTCATGTTAAACTTATGGAATAGCTTAAAACTATGGTGTGTTAGGAATATTTAATGGTTTTAATTTTCAATATCAAATTTTCAGTTTCACTTTTTTATTTTCTTTGATTTTGCATGCTTGTTTTCTATGGATGGAGAATATTTTATTTTATGCATAGTATGGTTTTGGTTGATGTATATTAGATCTATTAGAAGGTTTGCACATACATAATCATTTTCAGTTGATGCATGTTTTTACTATTTAAACAAATAATTAGCTATAGTTCTGAATTTGTGAAAAGTATTTTTCTTTTGGCATTTACAACAGGTCTTTAAATCGAATTATTTATTTGCTTCTTATAATTATGTAGGTTATATAATTCACTATAGTACTTTTCAATTTTTATTGTTGCAAATGCCAAGATCACTTGCTGCAATTGTTGCTAAACTTGGAATAAAACAAGCCAAGCCTTTGTTGTAGACTTCCTTAACTTTGACCCAACAGAAATCAAGATATTTTAATTAAAATACTTTTCCTATCATTGTAATAAATAAGATGGGTATTCTATCACCATAAAAATAGTATAAGTGTACTGTTGATGTACAAGCTATCATGTTTTTTAAGTTATTCTTTATTTTTTTTTTTTATAATTATATATATGACTTGAAATCTATTTATCATCCTACCTGAAATTATTAATTAAAAATTATTCATAATATTTGTTATACCATTACTTTTCTTCGGTATTTGGTATTTCAAAATAATAGATCTTCTTTTTGTGTTCACATGATAGTTTTTATTTTATGTTGAATTACAAATACAATTACTTTTATATTGATTTCTTAGGTGTCAATCGGAATAAAAATTTTAAACTTTAAATCTTTAAAAACTTAAACTTTAATATATAATTTTATTTTACTCTTAGATAAAATTTGAACTTCCATCTAATAATAATAATAAAATCCAATTGATTGCTCCATTAATCAATAATGTAACATATATTACACATGTCCTCACTCGTTACAGTTTGGAGATTTTAAAAATTGACTCTTTAATATTTTAATAGAGAGATTTTGAAGAATTTTAATTATTTTTTTATTTATTTATTGTTTTAGTTGGATAAAAGTGGTGTATTTTAACTTTTAAAATAATCAATTACATACAATTATTTTTATTTTTTTTCAATCAATTAAATGAAGTTGTGTCAAATTTGTTTAATGTAAAGTTTAACTCTCTTTTAATTATCAAATAAACACGTAATGGCTTAAGTATGAAAATTGACAAATCTTTATATTTTTGAATAAATTGTTATATATTTTCTTGGATGATAACAGTGCAAATTAAATTAATATTATCATTAGTAAAATAAAAGATAATTATTATCAATAAAATATAAATAATTTTGGTAAGGAGTAAAATAAAAAAAAATATAGTTATTATCAATAAAATATATATTTTCGTAAGGAGAATTTATAAACCGTAAAAATGCTAATACAATACATTGAATGTTTCATAATTTCAAGAAAAACACTACTTTTTATAAAAGTGGTGAAATTAAGCAGAACCAAAATTTGTTAGATGCAAGCGTCTGACAATGGTAAGTATTGCTGCTAAAAGTTTTGTTTTGAAATGATCCTACCATTATGGTTCAATAATAGATACACCATGGGAACTATTATGATATCTATAACAGTCTACACAAACTATTAAAGTTATACCCTCTCCAAAATTTTAAAGTCAGATAAATTATTAAAAAAAAAAATGATTGTAATCTATATATATTTGATTGCTTAACAAATAAATAAATAAATAAATAAAACATTATATTATAATAAACTAATAAATTTAAATGTAATAATAATGGATTAATTTTTGAAGATAATATATATATTTTTTAACTTGAGAATTAAATTCAAGTAATAATAAAATTTTAGAATAAATAAAAATCATATATACGTATTATTAAACATATTTAGATCATATTTTTATTTTATATAAAATTATTATGATTTCAATTAGTTAAAAAATTTTAAGAAAATTTAAATATTTTACTAATAGATTATTATTTTATTTAAAAATATACGAATTTGAATTTTTATATAATTGTTAAATTAAAAATTTTTTAAATTTACAGCAAAAATAAAAAAAAATTTGTGACCCGGGCAAAAGCGGGGAGAAATTTCTAGTTAGCATTATTTCCGAATCCCACGGATCAAAATCCCACCTTTCATTTCACCAAAAAAGAAATCCTGGCTTTACTCGGTGGACACATATGCCACGTGTCTCGACAAAGAAAACACCGTGATATGCGTTGCGTCCAGTTCGGCTGATACCTTTATCGTCCCACGCTTCATTTTCCCAATTCTCCCTCGAAGTTTTGCGATCGAATTACCTAGTTGCCATTCTCCTTTTTTTTTGTTTTTTACATTTTTTCTTTTAAATTGAGACGTTATGTATTTTACTTAGATTTAAAGATATGTCTTTATATATAATAATAATAATAATAATAATAAAGTAATCAACTTACATTAATATAAAATTAAAAAAATTTATATTATTTAAATAATTAATTTTAATAAAGTTTAAAAATTAAATTAAATTATTTTTTAATTTATCTCTCTTATTATTCAAATATATTAAAATTAATAGTTAAAAAATAATATAAAATTAAAAAAATTTATATTTGAATAACTTGATCATTTTTTGTAATAATATATCTAATATATATTTGATAAAAAAAGAGAGAGATAATATTCGATTTGAATCTTGATTTACTCCTATCTTTTTAATTTGATTAAATAAAAGGATTGTTTTATTAAAAAAAGGAGACCATCTTATATAAGAAATGATAATATCATTGATTTTGGAATAACCCATAATCCCAATTCCCATAATTTTATATTAGAATTTGACAAGTAAGGTAAGGTTCTTGTGTTATTAATTGCAAAATCAAAGCAATTTTTATTTGTGGCTATTTCTTAAAGGGCAAAAGATTTTCTCGTTATTTAAAAAGTAAAGAAAATTTTTACTATTTTATTTAAGAGTTCATGATACACTTTCATCTAAATTTATGATTTGATATTTGTTCAAATTATTTTTATTTTTTAATTAATTTTTATTTATTTTCATATTTAATTTAAAATTATTAAATTTTAATTGTAAATTTGAATGAAAATATATTATTAACCATTAAATAAATTAAAAAAAACTTTCACTACTTAAATTTAAGTAGTGAAGAGAATTTTTCCTTTTTCTAAACTAAACTGTTGCGTTCAAATGTCTTTTATTTCTTGTTCTTATGCCTAATTAAAGAATTTTTTAGTGAAAAATAAGAAATGTCAAATTACGAAACCCAAAAAGGAAAAAAAAAATCAAAGTAAAATGTGAAATTGGAAAAAAAAAAAGTCGAGGTGCATTTGGCTTTATTAATACGGAGGGTGAGGCCTGCATTCAACCACTCTACAAATTACAAAATCAAAGGATTATAAAATCCTCTCTATAGGTGCCCCGTAACAAAGTGGTTCTGTCGTAGTTTCGTGGAAACCCAGGGGGCACCTCTCCTTATACCTTTTATCATGCCACTCCCATCGCTGCCCCCCACCGCCACTCCTCTCACTCTAAAAAAGTACCCCCGTCATTCTCTCTCCGCCTGATTTTGTTTCGGTATTAAAGAGGCGGAGAAGAAGAAGAAAAAAAAATATATAAAGAAAAACAAAAAAGAGAAGAAAATTAAATATCATGTGCCCGACTAAGCAAAAACGCAGAGGCTACGCCGCGGATTCCGCCTGCAAATACTCCAGATCCGGTTTGACAGATGCTACTAAATCAATTCCCGATTGGATCGCTGAGTCAATCAACGGTGGATCCCTGCGATACGTCGACCTTGATAATGGAACCAATGGTTGGGCCTCACCACCCGGTGATCTCTTCTCTCTCCGTTCTAAAAACTATCTGACTAAACGACAAAAATCACCCGCCGGCGACTACCTACTAGCTCCCCTCGGTATGGACTGGCTAAAATCCACTTCCAAGCTCGACAACGTACTTGGCCGTCCCGACAACCGTGTCTCTCACGCGCTCAGAAAAGCTCAATCTCAAGGCCAATCCTTGAAAAGCTTCGTTTTCGCTGTCAATATTCAGGTCCCAGGTAAAGATCATTACAGCGCTGTTTTTTATTTCGCCACCGAGGATCCTCTTCCTCCCGGTTCGTTACTTTACCGGTTCATCAACTGTGACGATGCCTTCAGGAATCAACGGTTCAAGATTGTCAACCGGATCGTCAAAGGACCATGGATCGTAAAAAAAACGGTGGGCAATTACGCTGCGTGCTTGTTAGGTAAATCTTTGACGTGCAATTATCATAGAGGAGCTAATTACTTGGAAATTGACGTGGATATCTCGAGTTCTGCAATTGCTAACGCGATTTTGCACCTCGCATTGGGACACGTGACGAGCGTAACAATCGATATGGGATTTGTGGTGGAGGCGCAGACCGAGAATGAGTTACCGGAAAGGTTGATCGGTGCTATTAGGGTTTGCCAGATGGAGATGTCGTCGGCCACTGTGATTGACACGCTTACGCCACCGATTCTGACAGCGGCGTCGCGTGGAATGGGTTGTTCTAAGGTTAATCACCATAAGTCCAGTGATGATGATGATGATGACAAATGACCAACGGAGGTTAATCTTGAAAACTTTTTTTTTCTCTCAAATTTTAAATTTAATCTTTTCCTTTTTGATTATGTGAATTGGAGTCCCTTTTTGGAGGGATTGATGGGTGTAGATGATAAAATGGATAACAAATAACAAATGTGCTACGGTTTCCCATTTCTTTACTTTTCTTTGTTATTTACTCCGTGCGTTTTACCTTTTGATTTTCATATTTCTGTAATGGGGAAGTAGACTGTGAAGCGATGCTTGGATGTCATTGTTGCGCTGGGCAGTTGCTTTGAAGCGTCGGGAAATTTGATTTAACGCACTTGATTTCATTGCGTTGTTAGGTTGGCCAGGGTGAGTGGGGTGGGAACGTCATGTGGTCCCGTCTTTTGTCACTGCCGGTTACTGTTTAGATTTTGGTGGTAAAGTTAATTTAGGATGGCGGCTGTGCGGCCAAAGATAATAATAATTAATTTGAATTTCATGTCTGAATTAAGGCGTTTTATCATCCATGAAACATATCAATTAAAGTATTTGTGAACACAAATTTCTTAGTTGATCTATTTTAAAAATTATAATGATCGATCAATTAAGATGTTTCTAGATATAAATGCCTTAATTAGTCTTTTAATTTATAAAATTGATCAATACACAAATGTCTTAATTGATTATTTCTAGAAATTATAATGATTGATCAATTAAAATGATTTTGTATATAACTGTTTTAATTGATCTAACTTTTTTATTATGATTGTGATTAACTAAGGTATTTATGTATAAAAATATTTTAATTGATCATCAATTAAAATTATATTTTAAATCAATTAAAGCGTTTTTACACATAAATATCTTAATTGATTTAAAAGTAATTTTTAAAACTACTTAATTAAGGTGTTTGTGTTTACAAACACCTTAATTGATTATTTTAAATGATTCATTCTACATTCTTGAACCTTGAAAAATCAAATGACTAATACAATTGAATAATAAAAAGCTACAATGTGTTTACTCAATTAATTGGCGAATGGTTTTTGATAATAGAAAAGATAGTATATGAGATTCAATTGTGGTATATTTATTCAACAATATCTAAATTTTTGTAATTGTTAATTGAATTGAATTAATGTGTTGAATTTAATGTATTCAATTTTTTAGGAATTGTTTGATGTTCCAATTGAATATAAAAAGTTTGTATTGTAATCCGTTGGAAAAGCATTCAGAGACTTTAAGAGCATATTGACAACCCAATATGTTTTACCGTGCGCTGATAATTCTAAATTGTTGGTTGATCCTTCAACGACATATGCATATGTTATCAATTATGAAGAGAAGTCACAGTTTGTTCGAGATCGTTTATCAGATGAATTTTCGGGATGAATACCTAATTTGTTAATTGTTTATAATATTTTGTTTAATATATTCAATATCTTAATATGTGATTTATCTTATGTTTTTTTTTTCAAAAAATCAAAAAACAACAAAAAAAATTTAGGTTAAACAATTATATTACCATCGGATATCGAAAAAGGGTTATGCAAAATATCAAGCATGATCTTGTAAATATTCAAACACTTATTTTATACCCATATATGAATATTTATGAACATGTAAACATAGATTGAGAAACTTATAATGATTCTTTTTCAAGAGTCATCTTCTAGAATCGAAGTTTCTAGATGGGATGTATGAAAAAAAGGACATGCACAAAGATGGATCGTTCGCAGATGAAGCAATTGAAGAAATGGCTAAAAAAATTGTAAGTTTATTTAGTTATTTTATCACGTATGATGTATGTGCACGTATGTATGACTATATATTGTATATGGTTTTTTTACACACTATCATTTTGTGTTTCATGATGAATTTGTTACGAGATATGAATCCAATGACTTGCGAATCGATTATGACTATGATCCATTATCTCTAGCATTAGGATCGAAAGATAGACATGACCAAGTTTGGGAGTGATAGATTTGTGTTGCCATCACAGTTCTTCAAGAATTAACCCAATTCTCCAAATGAAAAATGCATAATATGAAGCAATCATTCAACAGTAACAAAAAGACTTATGAGTAAGAGTAACGCTTAAATGATCAATAGCAACGACTCGCAGCTTTTGAGGTAATGTTGGCAACAATGCAACCTAACATGCCCTGAGGACAATCTATTACAGACATCTTGTAGGGAAATGAATTTCTAAATTAAGTCTTACAGCAAGCCCAAATTGTGGTAATCATCATTATTTTAATTATGTTTATTTATAGAATATTATTTATATTTTATATTTTTTGAATTGGTTTTAAGACTTATATTTTATACTCTTTTGTAACAGGATGTTTCGACTTAGACAGTGACTTTTGCAGAGTCTACGATTAATGCATTATCTAATTATACACTTGATTAATTATCAATAGGAAACATTATTGTTATTGAGGGACAGTATGGATTATTTGATTATCCATCGATGTCTTATATTGAGAGGCAGGGATTAGGGCATTTTGTACCATGAATGAGATATCAACATCTGATATTGTTGCGTATATAAGGTTAGCTTATCAATTAATGTAAATATATTTTATCAATATAAGTTATTCTATGTTAGGTAGTATTACTAAATGATATTGTTGATTAACGTCATGTAGTTTTCTATACAGAGAGAAAGGCGAGACAAATAACACATAAATTTAGATTCGTTGACCTAAATTTGATTAGTCATGACAATGGCACTATCACTAATCATTCTCGTCATGTGGGTCAATGTATGCAAAAATTGTTTTATTATTTTTTGGTGCCTTATAATTTTGCGTAAGTTCTATTTATAGTAATAATTGTATTATTTATGACATCTAATATCATGCTTATTATTTTTATATCATGCCCATTATTTTGCAGGTGTCATTGGCAACTTATTGTAATTGATACAAATTCATGGATGCTATACTTATTTAACTCTACTCAACCAACGCCAATGCCTAAAATCGATATTGCCAACTTAATAAAGAGGTATTATATTGTATTAATAAGTTATAATTAGATTAAATTATGTTTTTATATAATTACTATTATTTTTTGTTTACTATTGTTTTTCTATTCAATTTAGGAAAATGGTTGCAGTTGATAAGAATAAAAGTTCAATTGGGTATCATTATTGGTGAGTGAAAAATATATTCTTTTATGCTGAGTTTGTTTAGAAAAATGTTTAGCAACTCACTCAATTTTATTTTTCAGACTTTTTGTTAACCAAGAGTTACCGAATGTGGATATTATGTCATTTGTTTTATGAAAAAAATTATTTTATATAATTTTATGAGCACACTATTCAATGTTAGTATTAATACAATATAATAGTAATATCTTTCAATTAAACTTATATAAATTTATGTGACTTGAATAACATTGACTTTTTATTTTTATTTATAGTGGACAAACAAAAGAAGCTTCACTCAAGAAGAAATTGATGAAGTCTGCAAAAATGGTGTGATTATATCTCGACATTTGCAAAATGTTGACCACTGGACAACCTATTTGGCTATAAATATATAATATATATATAAATTGATCTATTTTTTTTTTTTGTATAGATACTATGATTGGATATTTGTTAATTTTTATTAGTTTATTGGTTTTATTTTTGTCTTATATCATGGTGTGATTATACAAGTGCAATGTGATCACTTTAGGGCAATTTGTTCATCCTAATGGTGAATTTAAATTTAACTCATTTCGTGATACATACAACATTGACCACCAAGCATTCTTCTATCAATATAAATATGAAATTTATAAATTCAAATTGTGTTGTCATTCACACAATTTACAAATAAAAAAAAGCCTTAATTAGTCAATACAAATATTTATTTCATTAATACAAGAATGATATCCATTATAAATAAATGAATGTATAACATGCCACACATTTTTCATATTTACAACTTTTTCCTTCATGTCTTAATTAAATAAATATGTTCAAAAATTATTGTATAAATCTGTATACAAAATGTAGTGCAGTTTAAGTGTGTTTAGAAGGAGGAAAGTCAAACGATCTCTTCATCATCATCTTTTCTTTTCATTTTTCCTTCAGTAAAGATATCAATCTCTGGAGAGAAGTAAGCATTATCATTAGCATTCAATGATTCAACCACATCGGTTGCTGTTTTGGCTCTTTGATTGGTTGTTTTATCAAATCCAAAAATCACTTTGAAATTATCAAAGAAGGAGAAATGTTTGTTCTTTAACCCTCTAGCATGTGGATGTGCTTGCCAAAAGTTCAAACAAATACAAATCAAATAAAAAAATAGAAAAAAAGTAAATAAGTAAGGTAAGTCATAATATAATATTAAAAAACTTACTCGAACCCACTAATCAAAAACTTTTTTTTCAATTGTGATACATTTTTCTTGATCATTCCATCGAAATCCACTATAATTTTTCATATAACTAATTATGTGATATTGTCTCTTGAGTAGCTTAACCTTGGATTTGATATAGGGGTGGCTTTAAGTTATGAAGTAAGAATGAGTTGCTCCAATATTCATTCAAAATAACCTAGATATTTGACATGAAATGTTCCATTATTCACTTTCTATCTAGGATTTTCTGCCAAAAAATGTAGGCATTGAACTAGATGAAAATCTTCCTCTTGAGTCCATGAATGGTTACCTACCCCCAAACTTTTGGTTCTTCTTCTAGGTTGGTCTCAAATGGATTACAATGGAATGGCACGTGATAAAGACATGTTCAACTCCTGATCACATGGTTAGATATTATACAACAATATCAATATAGTAAATAAAAAACCCATCAAATGAATGAATTAAATGAATACACATGGAATGAAAATGAAGAAATGTGTACTTAATTTTATAATATACATTGGACACTTAAGAATAAAAAAAAGGTATAATGTAAACATATATTCAACATTGATATAAAGTAAATTCTACACTTAACTATATGGTACATAAATCAAATATATTAAGCAAATGTTATAACATACAAAACATTTTTATAATGTACTTATCCCCAGGATTACAATCAATGGGTGAACAACTCATTCGTCAGATTATCTCTAAACTGAATCCAAGAATCAAATAGTTTAACATGCATAATCAAATCTTGATGTTCAGATTCATCTGGTTGGCTAATACTTCCTTTAGCAACATCACTTTCAATAGGGTCA